TTACAGTATGTTTTATGGTACATTACCACATTAAACTCCTTATATAGAGACACATAACAGATGTCTTATTTTGTCTCCATCTTCCACTCCTCTGGGCACATTGTGTGGAACAGAGTAGATGCTTAATAAATTTGCCTTTGTGTTTAGCATTCCTCATGTTCTGAATCCTGGCTCCTGCTTTGAGTTGTCAGAAGTCTCTAGAACAGTGAGGTCTGTATATATCTGACACATCAATTCAAACACTTATCCCTGTCCAACGTGGCTGCATAGAATTGTATTATAGCATAGCATAGCATTAGGGAGTTTGAAATCAAGGAATGGGATAACTGGAGAGAGATGAAAGTCAGATGAAAGAAAAAATGAACAGGAGAGACAGAGAAGCTGAGTTTCCTGTGGTATTGAGGAGTGGTGCTCACAGAGTATTGCTTTTTTCTGTGATGAGCAGATAAGCTACAAAGAAAACTCCTTGTTTTAAGTCTGCTATACTGGAAAAGTAAATCAATTCAGGCTCTTCAAGTGATTAGAAAAGAAAAATGGGCCTGATAAACACTGCTGGGATAGGTTGATTAAAGTTTGCACACACACACACACACACACACACACACACACACACACACACAAAGCGTCTTTTTCCTAACTGATTCCAATACAAACTCACAGAAAAGGCTGGGGGCAGGGGAGAAAGATAACATTTAATGCATAAATTAATCAGATGTTTCAAATGTATTTAGATTATTCTCATAATTAGAGAAACAATCTTAATAGTTCGAACATAAAGCTGTACAGGGGGGGAAATATCCACTTTAACTTTGGTTAATATTATGGTGTTAATTTGAAGAGCTAAGGTATTTTGTATACTTCATATGTTTAAATATACATTTGAGAACACAGAGTAAAATCCAAATATCCAATAAGGTTGTTGAAATAAAAAACACATCAAAGATGTTTAAAAGAAATGGTAGGAAGCAAAATCTTTATTTCCATAGTACAATCATTTAATGACTTTGAGCTTCCTGGCAACCAGGATACAAAGGGAAACATGGGTTTACACAGTTCTCCTTAACAACAATGGCAAATCCACTGCGAAAGTAGACAAAATACCTTTTCTAAGAAATGAAGGAACATCGATTTTTTAAGAAAGAGAAACTTTATTTTAGTACTAAATTCTAAAATGAGTTTATGACGTGGAACTCAACATAGGATAATCCAAACAAAATGGTTGATGTCATTGACAACAGCTCCACAAGAGAAGACAAGTGTGGTTGGAAATGACTCTTTCGGTGAGGACTTTAAGTATGCTAGACATGGAAAGAAAAGAACTGCATGATCTCACTTATATGTGGAATCTAAGGGTCGATTACATAGAAGCAGAGAGCAGAAAGGTGATAACTGGGGGCAGAGAGATGGGGAAAATGGGTGGGGAAAGTGGGGAGATGCTGGTCAAAGAGTATAGAGTTGAAGTTAAAAGTATAAATAAGTCTAGAGATCTAATGTACATGATGACTATAGTTAATAATATTGTATTGAATACTGGAAAATTGATAAGAGGGTAGATTTCAGGTGTCCTTACCACCCACACAAATAAGGTAACTATGTGAGAAGATATGTTAGACTTAGTAAACCTTTTACTATTTGTATGTCCATGAAATCATCATGTTGCCTTAAATATATACCATTTTTATTTTTAAAAAAAGGAAAAAAAAAAACCACTACACTTTCGTGTGTCCCCTGGGTGCTACCTATCTCCTGTGGAAAGCATGGTGCCTTATCACATTCATTCATTAAAATACGAGTCAGGTATTATCAGTCTCATTTTTCAGAAAAGAAGCTTGTTTCTCAATGAAAGTAAGTAACACATTCAAATGGGGCTGAGTCAGGGTTTAAACCGAGGGCTGTCTGACTCCACGACCAGTGATCTTTCCATTGCACTCTGCAAATAAAAAATTCTCGATTCTTTATACAGGCTTGGGGCACCTAGGTGGTTCAGTCGTTTAAGCTTCTGACGTCGGCTCAGGTCATGATCTTGCAGCTTGGGGGTTGGAGTCCCGTGTAAGTGCTCTGTGTTGACAGTTCAGAGCCTGGAGCCTGCTTTGGATTCTATCTTCTTCTCTCTCTGCCTCTCCCCCACTCATGTTCTGTCTCTCTCGCTCTCTCAAAAGTAAAAATAAACGTAAAAAATTTAAAATAAACAACTTGAGGGGCGCCTGGGTGGCGCAGTCGGTTAAGCGTCCGACTTCAGCCAGGTCACGATCTCGCAGTCCGTGAGTTCGAGCCCCACGTCAGGCTCTGGGCTGATGGCTCAGAGCCTGGAGCCTGTTTCCGATTCTGTGTCTCCCTCTCTCTCTGCCCCTCCCCCGTTCATGCTCTGTCTCTCTCTGTCGCAAAAATAAATAAACGTTGGAAAAAAAAATTAAAAAAAAAAAAAGAAAAAAAAATAAAGAATAAAATAAACAACTTGATTCTTTATATAGGATTAATATCAAAGAGAACATCAGTACAAGTAGCTGTTCCACAAGTTGGACTGGGGTTGAGAATGGCCCAAGTTACTAGCTACAAAGATGTGTTAGGCTATCACTGCAGAGAAAGGAAGAGATGTTCAGGTTCAGGACATGAGTTAATCAGGTCCAACTGGTGTTTGCTGATGAGAGGGCACAATAGCAAAATTAATTCCAAATGCAATAACTCATAAGTAATTTACAATATCACTTTGTGCAACATTTCTCCACTTCCTACTTCAGGGGAGGAAAGAGCAAAGTAAAATCAGGTATTACAACCACTCCAGATCCTAGAGAAGGGGACAGGGAAGGAAGTTCTGCTGTGTTGTTTACGGCACCAAATCCTACTGGACAATAGAGAAGGGCAGATAGAGTGAGGTGTGGCTCTGGTCTGGGATTACATAGGGCACTTCATCGTAAAGAACCCAGGAAATGGAAAAAGTAGAAGGAAAGAGCTCATTTTTTTTCTATTTTTAAAAATATCATAATTAAAAGAAATTCTGATAATAAGAATTATTACATAATAGCTGGTGTTACATTTTGAGTGTCTTCTCCACCTTTTAAGATGCTTGGGGTCTGCATTTCACATTTAGTTTAAGCTTTGCACCTTTCGGGGGACCGCTTCATCTCAGGCACCCGTGGAATAATGAAAGCTATTGAAAACCACACGAACGCAAGCAGGAGTGAGAAGTACCACTGGCTTTAGTCACTTTAAAAAGTCACAGTGAATAAATACTCTTTGAGCCCCTCTCATGTATGTGTTGGTAAACATACTCCTCAGACCTTTGGGGGAGCACAACCATCTCGAAAATGTCTATCTGGTCAACTGGCATCATTCTGGGCAAGGAAATATTTGCAACCATGTGCTCTGGCCCAAAGCTACCATGCACACTAAATGCCAGCCATCATTCTAGGGGCATCGGGGATCTATCACTGGAGAGAATAGACAAAAATCCCTGCCTGCCCAGAACTCCTATTCTAGTGAGGAGAGTTAGATAACAAATACAACTTTTAAAGGACATTTTATAATATTATAGAAGGTAAAAGTTCTGTCAATAAAACACTAAAGAAAGCTTACTATATGAAGAATGCATTTTTAATTTTAAATAGTGAGGGTAGGCCTGAGGAACACAGTGACAATTGATCAGGGTCTTGAAGGAAGTGAGGGAGCAAAACAGCTGGGAGAGGACAAGTCCAGACAGAGAGGCCAGTTAGCATAAAAGCCCTGAGATGGAAGCATACCTGTCCAGGGATCTAGTCCAGGAATACCGAGGAGGCCACTGTGGCAGGAGCTAAGTAAGTGAAGTGAGAGAAGTAGGAGCTGAGGCTAGAGAAAGGCAGATCATGTATTGTCCTTCTGGGCTATTGTATGGACTTTCGTTTTTGTTCTGATTGAGATGGGGTTCATCGCAGGGTTTTGAGCAGAAGAGGGATATGAGCTTCCTGTTGAAAGGGATTGCTCTGGCCGCTGTGTTGAGAAGAGCCCAGAGGGGGGCAAAAGTAGAAACAGGGTTAGGGCAATCAAAGTAAAGACATGATGGTAGGTTAGACCTGGGTGGTAAGAACAGTGGTGGTGCTAAGCAGTTGAATTCTTGGACTTCTTTTGAAGTAGAGCTAAAAGGATTTCCTGACGGATTGGATTGGAAATGCAAGAGAAATAGAAAATCAAAGATGATACCAAGGTTTTAGGCCTGATAGGAGTGAGACTTGAGTTTGGACAGGTTGGGTGGGGGACAGAGGGAGGACTCTCAGGATGTCAGCGTTGGAAATGTTCAGTGGGAGAAGCCCTATAGGCATCCAAGGGAGCAACTGCCTGAAGCCTGCAGTTCAGGGGAGAACGCCCGGCTGGAGGTGAGATTTGGGAGTCGTTACCATGTAGGTGGTATTTAGTGCCCTGAAACAGGATGAGATCACCATGGGAGAGAGTGTGGATAGACAAGAGATCCAAAGTCTGAACCCTGGGCACTCCACAGCTCAGCGGCTGGGAGAAAAGAAGGGACGGTCAAAGGTTAGGAATAAAGCCATGAAAACACGGTGGTGTGGAAGTCGAAACCGTTTCCAGGAGGAGAAAGTGATCAACTGTTAATTGCTGCTGACTGTCCAAGTGAGGTAAAGACTGAAACACCTTTTGATTTGAGAGTTTGATCTCGGTAAGAAGAATTTGAGGGACGTGGTCAAAGCAAAAGCCTGACTGGAGTAAATGGGAGGACAGCACATGGAGATGGCTTTTGTTAACAATTCTTTGTTTTGTTTTTGAAGTTTATTTGTTTATTTTGAGAGAGTGCAAGCAGGGTAGGGGCAGAGAGAGGGGGAAAGAATCCCAAGCAGGCTATCAGTGCAAAGCCTGATGTGGGGCTTGAACTCATGAACCATGAGACCTGAGTGGAGGTCAGATGCGTGAGCCATTGAACCGCCCAGGTGCCCTTGTTAAAATTCTTTAAAGGCATTTTGCTATAGCAGAGTAGAAGAGGGGCAAGTGGCTGGTGGGGGAAGGGGATTCAAGAGTTTTTTGTTTTTAAAATGGGAGAAGTAGCATGATTTTATGTTGATGGAGATGATCCAATAAAGGGAGAAAATTAATGAGGTAGGAGAAGAGAGAACTGCAGGAGCACTTAACCTTTGGATTGGCCTCTGTATGTTTCTGTGGGGCAAAGAGCTAGGACCGGGTGGGGGTGGGGTAGTTCTATAAAACACCAAGCAGTTCATAAATGAGTCTCTCCCTGACATTAGAAATCAGGCTTTTTCTTGCACACACGAAAAGTGCATTAAATAAGCCATTTGTTGGGTGACTACTAGGGCCACTCATGGTGTCAGGTACTTTGCCTACATTATGCAAAACCTTATTAGCCGACTTCCAGCATCAGTATCATTATTACTACACTGTAGACCAAGAAACTGTTACTAGGAGCTAAAACAACTTCCCCCAAACCATACAGAGCATAAGTTAAATAGCTTGCATTTCATGGTGCTCTCTTCCTTGCTTCTGCGGGTTCCTCGAGGGCCGGCGGCCTTTATCTTTGTAACCCCAGAGAAGGGCTCCCGACTTGGTAGAGGCTCACATTACCGCGTGCCCAGATGGACCGCGGATTGCCCTGGGTCCATTTCGGTGCCTTCATCCGAGGCACTCGATGGAGGCCATTCACCACCAGCATTGTTCTCATTGGTTGCAGCAACTGAGAAAAAAAAAAAAAAAAGTTGGAAAACAGAAACTTTCAAAAGAAATTACCGAAAGGAAATCAGAATTAGTTCCAATCATCAGCCCTTAGCTGAGGCCATTTCCCAAGGAGCTCGCAAAGCTGCTCTTCTGACGCATCAGGTACCTGCCCGCGGGCGAACTGTCGGGAGCAGGTGAGGTGTGGTCACCTGGAGTTTCCCAGTTGAAACTTCACGTCGGGCGAGGAAATCATCACCCGAGGACGTGTACCCTCCCGCCCTTCTTCCAGCTCGTAAAAAAAAAAAAAAAAGAAAGAAAGAAAAGAAAAGAAAAGAAAGAAAAGAAAAAGCCTGCCACAAACGTCTCTAGCGCGGGACTGTAAAGGCACTAGAGGCGGCTTTGAGAACTGGCGCCGGGAGCCGGGGCGAGCAGCCAGGCTCCTCCAGCAGTCGTGAAAAGCCCGACTGCACACCGCCCGCGAGCTGGGCGGCTCACCTCCTTACCGCCTCGAGTCCCAGGGTGCCCGCCGTGGTGGCTGCGAAGGGGCCGGGGCCCGGGAGCGCGGCGCGCGGAGCCCACCACCGCGGCCCGAGGGGGAGCGCACGGCGTGGCGTGGCTCACCGAGCGCGCCTCCCCGCCCTGGCCGCCGGGACCCCGTCGCGCCGCAGCGCCAGGTGAGGAGGGGGGGTCGGTGGCCGGCGGGAAGGAGGGGGCGGCGCCGGCTCCCGGTGTCCGGGCCGCGCCCCTGGGGGGCGCTGCCTCCCCCGCGCCGAGTTGGTCGCCGCCGGTTGCGCGGCGGAGGGCTGGGGGCGGAGAGGAGGCAGTGGCCGCCGGGGCCGAGGAGGGGCGCGCTGACTGCGCACCGCTAGCCCGGAGTGGCCGGACGGCGGCGGCTGGAGCTGCGGCGGGGCCCGGCCTGGGGGGCCGGGGCCGGAGGGAGGGCGGGGGCGGGGGCCGGGGCCAGGCGAGAGGGCGGCGGGGCCGGTGGAGAGCCGCGGCTCGAGGAAAGATGAGACGGTGAGTGGGAGCCGGGGACGCGGAGTTGCTTTGCTTCTCTTGCAGGCTGTAGGGACAAAAGCCTGGGCTGGGGTTAGCGGAACCCCAGTTTGGGGGGCCCTGGACCCCGGTGGATGGCTGGACCCTGCAGGAGAGTGTCGGTGTAGGGGAGACTCTCACAGAGTGGTTGCAGGGAACGGGCGGGATTTGGGGGGGGGGGGGGGCACCGGAGGCAACTTTTGCCCAGAACTCTGGAATGACCAAGGGGAGAGGTACGGGGATCTTCGGTGGAGAGCTGCTTTGTCGCGATGGGCGGAGGAAAGAGAAGGTCTGCTGCAGGATGGTGTGGGGCGCGGGATTCAGAAAAAGACCCCCCTCCGCCCCCAAATATCTGACTGGCTGCGCTTCTGATTCCACTGTTTCAAAAGTGGGGCTCGCAAGTTTGAACCGTGCAGAACCTCAGATTCCGATCTCCAAAAGTTTGTGGTCTGGCGGTCTCCGCAGCCCTGGAGACAGCGGCTGGAGGAAGCATTGGGGAATGTCCTGAACCCCTGTTTCACCCGCGTCGGGCAGGGCGGAGGCGCGGCTGAAATGTTTGCTGGTGCATTCAATAACTTAGCTCCAGCAGTCATCACTTTAAATTAAAGTGTCCAGGAGCTGGCTAACTCCCGCCACCGCCAGGCAATTAAAAGGCTGACAGGCTGTCCCTTCCAGGGTGGAGGTGTTCTGTTTGAAAGAGCTTCGGAAGTCCAACCTGCTTCCAGAGCCTGCCCCTCTACCTTTCTTATGTGGAAGAGGGAACTGTGCCCGCAGCCTTTTAAATTGGTAGACTGGCCTGGGGCTGGAAATACTCTGGGCAGGCCCTGCCCTCATCCCTGGAAGTCTTCCTCCGGCAGCTCTGAAGTAGCTCTCACGAGTTCTAGAATGCACAGCTCATCACTGCCAAGCGCGGCTGGGAGTGGAACTAGAAGCAGCAGCGTACGAATGTGGATTCCTTTTAGGAGAAGTATTTGTCAGCCATATTTCCCTTCATTCTATAAATGTGTAAGTTGCAGACACTTCTTTTCAAGTACTGGAGTGTAACTTCGAGCTTCCTCGTTCGGTCTAATTTAGGTGTTTGACATACGTCCCTGAGATTCTGACTTTGTCTGAATTCAGCTGGGAGCGATCTAAATGAAGTTCAGTTTCAGAGGGTTAAACTTTTGCCCTGAGAGCACTTGAATTCTTGCTTCCTGGTAGGATAGCAACAGAGTAGTTGGATTTGGGATAAATAAACCTTTAGAGTTGCCCAGTATTTTAACAGAATGGCTATATCCCTGGTACCGTTGGCGTCAATTATGTAAATATTTGTTTGATTAAAGAGCTGAGTTCTTTGAAAAGTAACAGTTGTGTCTATTCAAGATTCCCTTTTCATATCCTGGACTTAGTTCTTTAAAAGAGTTTTTTTTTTTTTTCACCTTACATTTTTAATGTGGAAATGTACACATTATATGTACTTTAGAAACTCTGTAAAGTTCTCAAAACGTGTACAACTGGCATTTCCTTTAAAACCAAGGAGAGTTGAGTTTTTGCTCTTAGTTGACTGCTGTAGCCTTCACCTCCTGAGACCCAGAGGTTTGCAAATCTCAGCCTTTCTCACCAGTGGGAAAATGAGATGTTTGGTTAAGAGTAGTAATCATTTCAGTTTGCAGCCTTCAGTCTGTTTCATGCAGCTGGCAACTGCTGTTCCTTTGGGCTGAGGACTGAAGGACTGTAGGGAGGGGGTGTCTCTTGGATGCCTGTTTAAAGTGGTGGAGGAAAAAGATACTTGGGGCATTGAGCTAAGAGTTTGCTAAGCCCTATCTTAAAGGATATAGACCAAAGCCAGAACTCATTAGCATCCTTTGCGGAAACATTTTTTATTTACTGGCTTTGCACAAGAGAAGGAAGAAACAGCCAAAGTGCTTAAACCAACCATTGGTTTTCCTTATTCTCGTCAAAGCCCTATCGCGAAGTCTCTAAGCAAGGATTGATTCTAGAGTGTACTAGGGAAGTTACTGTGAAAAACGTGATTCCTTTGGGATACTTTTAAAGAGCAGCTGAGGTTATGACTTTGTGTGCTAATTCTCAACCCTTAGCAGGGAAGCGTGCTATGAACGATTTGTAAAGGCTGTGCTTTGTACTTCTTCCAAGTGGAATACATGTGCTTTATAAACCTGTTAGGTCTTGGTGTACTTTACTTATTAATAGTGTAAATGTCACCCATTTGAAACTAACAACAACAACAAAAATATTTCTAAGTGATGTGCATTATTTTAAAGCCCTGATATCCAGTATAGCAGTGGTTCTCAATTGGAAGTGGGGGTAGCTTTTGCTCCCCAAGGGATATTGGCTAACGTATGGAGACATTTTTGGTTGTCCGTCTGGAAGTAGAGAACAGCCCACCCCCTGCCAACTGGGCTGACATCTATGGTGGGTAGAGGCCTCAGCTGCTATGTAATATCCTACAATGCACAGAACAGGCACAAAGAATTCTCTAGCCCCCAAAATCTAGAATACTGCTCCAGAATAATACACTAAAATACCAGAGTATTACCTCGTGGGCATCTGTTAATAAGATTAGGGATCTTAATCTAACTTCGATCCTCAAGAAACCAACTGTGTTCTTGTTAAACACAAGAGACCATGTCATAGAAGCCTTTTTGTCAGCACCAGATTCTTTTGCCGTTGGCATTAAGAGTCTTAATATACCAAAGATGTGAAAGAACTTGTGTTCATCGACAACTTTGTTCACTTAAAAATCACAGAATTTGGGAGTATTAGACTACAGGGGAGCCTCAGAGATCACCAAGTTCCACCTTCTTATTTTATAGATGTGAAAACGGAGATGCCTGGAGATTAGTGACTCATAAGATCGCACATGAGTTTGTGGCAGACTTAGTCCTGGGTACAACCCAGAATTAGGGAGTTTGGCAATTGATGTTCAAGCAACTGTATTTTTTTTTTTTATTAGTGGACCTGACCCTTTGTGAGCATTTAGAGGTACCATTCTTCATGAGGAAATAAATAAACCCTTTGGGGAAGAGTAACATTAGCCATGGTGACTGTGGAGCATATGCCTGTGTGTGTCAGCCCTAAGAAGGAGATAATTCCATTGTGTGATCTGTGACACTCTACGTCTGATGCCTACACTACCCTTCCCATAGCAGAGTGGGCAACAGATGGTTCCACAAGGCTAGCAGATGCTGCTTTTGAATCCAGGTACAAAATAGAAACATTTGAGATTTTCCATCCCTCCCTGCCTCATGGCTTAAGAGTAGAGTACATGAATGGATAGGAGGGAAATGAGAGAGGCCTCCTGAGTATGAGGTTTGGAAAGCCACCTGGCATATAAGGAAATGAGCAGTTGTGGGGGCAATTCATAAGCTGATGAATGGCTGTCTACAATAAGTAGGATTGCAAAGAACTTGGGTTAGGAATCTGAAGACCATTCGAGTTTAGCTATCCTTTGGGTGAGTAAGACAAAATAATCCTGAGAATAAAAGGAAATCCTCTTATCTGACTCCTTTGCCTCCAATGCACTCACTTGACTGGATAGTGCGGGACCTGCAAGTCACATCTAACTCCTATGCCACTGTTACTTTCTTATACCCCAGTCTCTACCATTCCATCCGTTTCCCTGATGGGGAAGAATATGACAATAGTGTAAAGCTATTGTTAATTTTCTGGGAGAGTTTAAAAAAGCGTGGCGTTTGTGAATGGCTCTGTTTATAGAAAGGGGTTACCTCCGTGAGTTTTGAAAGATCAAAAAATCTGTGCCCATATTGCCCGATCAATTACAAACATGTACTCGCACATTTACATTTCTATGAGTAGCCATTAAGCCTGTGATTAGGAATTCTAGGTCTGTGTGCTAAGTGTTGCTGCCAGGGTAGTTTATAATCATCCCAAGTCTGGGAGGTTCTGGCATTAGAGGAGACTGTTTTAGTATGCCTTTCTTGGGAGAGGTCAGAACTCTGAACTGTGCTGAGGTAAGTTCTTATCATCTTGATGACTAGCCAATGGGTGCACCTCAAAGCCAAGTATGTGGTAGTATATTTAGAAATGATTTGAAAGTGGTGACTTTTTTAAGGGGTCTGCGCCCTGCAGGTACTACAATAAAGAAGGGGGCAGCCTTCCCATGATCACCTTCCTTGTAGTTATTGTTGTTACTTTTGTTTCAGATGATGGGAGAGAAGGCAGGCGTTGGCTTTGTTTTGTTTTTTAAATAACTGTTGGCTGGAAATATTTATTGGCATCTGAGTAATGTGACTCTTGTCTTTTGAAAATGAATAAGACCAAAAATGGTAGCTCAGGGTGTCACATCCCTTCAAGATAAACAGTTAGGCAAGAACTTGTCTTTGTCACACAGGATTTGAATCCTCTAGGGGTTAATTTCAGTTGTTTTCGTGATATTTAGGGATGTTTCTTACATGTTGAAAAGAAGCTTTGTGCTTTATGTGCTTTAAAGGCAAGATTTTATCTATAGCAGCTAGTGGTCAATAATAGAAACCCAGGTTTAAAAATCATTTTATTGAGGTGTTGGTGGGAAAGCCAGTGTTTGGAGAAGCTTGCTGTACAAAGAAACAGATAAGTAAGACCTAGAATAGCAAGCAAAGTTACATGGAAACGCTTTGGAGAGGTTTTTACAAGAGCTATTTTTTTTTCTTTAGAGTGTGAAAGTTGATTTATTACACAAACTGCTGCTTTTTTCTTACTTTGCAAATGAAGGGGAAGGAAAAGTTTGTGCATGCCAATATTTAATATCGTTACCTCAAGCAGGGTCAGCCTTTTCTGAGACTTGCTGCTAAATCTGGAGTTCAGCAGAAATTAGTGTTGATCAGCTTAGAATATTTGGTTTACACATTGTGTGTGACTTCTCCAGATGGTAGTATGCTTGTGGAATTAACATATGGAATGGCAAAAAGCTAAAGGTTACAAGATTTTTCCTAGGTGTGTTTCTTGACCAGTGGACTGCTAAAACAAGGGCAGGTAAAAAAGCAGAGGAAAGCCTGCTCCTGCATTCTTTTGGCCAGTTCAGACCCAGTGTGAATAGTGCTTCATAGCCAAGAGATACTCAGAGGAGACTGGGAAGTGATGTCTGGCTGCCACACTGCTTACGTCATTGCAGAAGTAGGTTTTCGAAAACAGCTTAAGATTTATTAAGGAAATTGCAAGCCATGGGAATGCAGAACACATATTTCTTATACATCACACTGAATCAAATACCCGTATTATATTGCATTAATGTAACTCTGACCAGGCCTTTGTCCCACTCTGTTATGCTGAAACAATTTACCACGCCCTTGGAATGTCATGGGCAACGGCACCGGTGCAAGCTTTTCCCAATTAGGTAGCTGCTACCTTATCACTAAAACATGTTTCTGTCCTTTGGTCATTTCCATGTCCTGCATTGTATAACTGGCACTCCTGTGTTATTTAACCAGTATCTATCTGTTGCTCCAGAAAGTTGGAGCAGAAAGAACACCCAGTTCACCCTTACCATTTTAAATGTGGGAAACCTCAGCTAACACAAGGTGAAGACAGGAGTGACTTGCTCCCGCTTTAACTTCTGTTGGTGATTTTGGCAGAACCAGGACTAGGACGGGTCTCCTGACTCATGTTCCTGGCAGTCTGTCCAGTGTTCTTTCTACTATTTTGGCCATTACAATAAGAATAACACCCTAAGGAAACCATTTCCTTTATTAGGTCTTTTGGCCAGAGCTATAAACAACTGCATTGATTAAATTTAATTTAGTTAGTTGATTATAGATCTCTGCTGGTTCAAGTCCTTTCTTTTTTTTTTTTTTTTTTCAACGTTTATTTATTTTTGGGACAGAGAGAGACAGAGCATGAATGGGGGAGGGGCAGAGAGAGAGGGAGACACAGAATCGGAAACAGGCTCCAGGCTCTGAGCCATCAGCCCAGAGCCTGACGCGGGGCTCAAACTCACGGACCGCGAGATCGTGACCTGGCTGAAGTCGGATGCTTAACCGACTGCGCCACCCAGGCACCCCTCAAGTCCT